CGAATGAGTGAAACTGTCTGCGACTCGTCGTTGTATTTTTCGGAGTCGACGTTGACATCAGAGGATGTGGATGCAGGAGGAATGTGATGAACAAAAGAGAGTGAAATTAAACAAGTCGCTTGTTCCTGTTGTGCTCAAAGCAGGTACGGTCCAATGACCTGCAGCGTTGCTTTGTTTTTGTTTTCAGTAACCACCAGAAGAAAAGGATTCGATGAATTACGGTGTGCAGCAAATTATCTCATTACTACAAAACCATAAATCATTGCTAACCACAGGGAGAGCAACAAGGCAGAAAACGAACCTCTCTGTCATTGTAAATCAAAGAAAAGCATGTTGTAGCATGAAGTGAAGAACATAACCCTCCCTGTTTCTCACGCATAATGTACAGTTGCTTGAATACAAACTGTGTGTAAAACATCCATTTCACATGAAGCTTTATATCGAGGGTTTTTCCAATGAACCATTGAACTATCAAGATGCTACATTGCTTTTATACCGTTTTTGTCTTTAGCTTTGAATACAAACATAATTTTTTCATTGCACGATGTCACAAGGACAGGTTCGACTGCCAGAGCTTGACAAATACAAGCCTGGACCTGAGTCAACGAGAGAAATCGGCATGCTCGTCTCGTCTATCACATGTTTGTCAAAAAGGCAGGGTTTGCAACGCGGTCCACGCTCAGCCCGAGTGCCAACAAAAGGCAGCAGCATCTGACTTCTGGACGACGTGATGGAAGGGCTGTCCTCAGAAGATTTAAGAGTAAGCGTGTACATATCAGCAACAAATGTAATGCATGTTGTTCACAAGCCAAAGGGAGATGGCGTTGTTCGCGATATCCAACGTGACCCCGTGCTTCCGTCTTACTTTCCTCATCCAACTCGTCCGACCACATACGTTGCTGCGGGGTGGAGAACCTTGAGGGGATGTCACAATATTTTGGAAGACAGGCGATAAGAGCGCAGGAAGGCCTCAGTTTGCCTCTCCATCGTCTAGTGCTTCATGCTAACAACACCTGGGTGATAACAGACGAGTGGTATTATCAAAAGTATCAAGATTGACCTTATTTAAGTGACTCAACCGTTCAACTCCACTTGCACTCTAGGGGAACTCACTGCTACGTCTGCTTCTCTTATCTGACACTTGAAATGTAATTGCTACTGTAGGGAACAGTTTCTTTATTACATTTTATTTAATTTTTTTGCCAAAGCTTGCCAGTTCAGGACACACACTTACTTTAAACATCGAGCTGGTGTTGTTAGGAGTTAGGGGAGGGTTCATTGTTGAACCTAAAACAGCACCAGAACAGCATTTGTCCGAATCAAAAGAGCACTTGGCCTGACCACAAGAGCCCTTGGGGAGTTACAGGGCAATTAGTCCAGCTGAAGGAACAATCACGCTAACTGCGAAGGCACTGTGGGCCAACCGGAGCAGCACTCGGGGAGCAACTGGTCTGACAAAAAGGGGCATACCGGGGTACTAAATTGCCCCTCTAAGGAAAAATGACACATGGAAGTGTTCCATTGGGACACATTCCCGTATATGTACCAAGGTTAAATAAGGTGTAAAAACAGGACTCAGGCTACAGCTAGAAAATATGTGTTCCAATACTTTAGTTTGTTTCATTTTGTTAAACATCTATCTTCTGCTTCAGTCTGATAAAGATGCAACGTATTCAGTAATTGTCAACTGTGTTAATGGATGAAGATTGTCCTGAACTAAATGTGAGGGTTTATCTGTAATTACTGGTTTTGAGCACTGACAAATCACAGCGTTTGTTGACCTAATCCATGCAGTGCCAGCTCAGTGAGCAGCGTAGAAGATTCTGAAGTTTGGGTGGGAAGGCCTGTTTCTGGTGCCTCTCCTTTTTGACAGGAGAAGCAGCGAAGAGCGAGACTAAATTTACCCAGGCTGGGTTCCGCCAAGATATTTTTATTTTTTTCCAGAAGAATCCCTGATGCAGAGCATGCGAGACATCTCAGACTGCAGCACACAAAATTGTGCAGCGTAGGACTGTGGGTGGGCTCTAGCTCCTTGGGCCAGCACCAAAAAAAACAAACACACACCAACGCAAAAGGATCTTCTATTGTTTGGGAAGAGATTGTCATCGCAGCACAAACAAAAGTTGCCCTGTCTTTCAAATGTCATCACGCAACAGTGTTTCACTCCTTTTGGGTTCTTGGGTACCGCGCGACTCCCTTGACGATGAGCGATGGTGACATCAGAAGCACAGAAAGTAGGAGCAGACATGGCTCTGAATGGGTGGCAAAATCCGTGTGCCTCGAGGTCCAAACAAAGCCTAGAGTACATCTTCAGTTTGTTTGCCTCCTGCGATGCAGAGAAAAAAGAGAAAATGAAATGGACAAACAGCTGTGGAGTGCATTGATGATAATTGTGCATATTGTTACGCTGCCATTATGCTAAATATTATGGAAAAACCTCTGTTCAGCAAAGGGACGTTGCTCAGACAACACTCAACTTTCAGAAAATATGAGTTGCCTCAGAAAGCTGTGACTCGAGAGCTCCAGATCTCTGATTATAGCTTTGTTGAAAATTGAACATTCTCCAAAAAAAAAAAAAAAAATCTTTATTGTTCAAGCACAGATTTTCAGCCCACGTCCAACAGCAGAATAGTTGGATGAAGTCTCGGTATTACAGTTGGCTGATGCCGCCCTGCCCTTGCATATCTCTTTCAGCTCAGATGCACATATCTGCTGCTTTATCAGACGAGAGGGAGGCATGTGATCGTGTTCATACAATAGCAGTGTCCCTTTTCAGAGGTAACGTCACCGATGGAGCACTGGGCGAGAGACGTGGGAGCACTTTGTGGATGCAGCGGAGCTTCATTTCTTTTCCTTTTTTTGCTGGTAGGTAGATGGTGATTATAATAAAAATAGGACAGGTGTGTTTGAGCAGTTGCCAACAGATGGTTCCTCTGTGAGTGTCACCCTACTTTTTCAGTCAATGCTAAAAACCAGATGCACGCACCACAGCCTAGAGCGCTTGGCTCGGCATTCTAAAGTCTGCAAACTTACAGCAAGGGAAATCGACAGCAGGGTTCCCATGGAACACAAAAAGATAAAAACTTTAAAAACAGCTCTTATAAATAGAATTAATTCAGCGTCAGTGTTGAGGGCCTCAACTAGATCCACTGTATGATGAGTTGCTTTCAATACGTATGTTGCTGCTATGCACACACTGCAAGGTTATGTAAAATGATGACACATCCCCCCCAAAGAAGCGGACTGTTGCTGATTGTTTCTCTTATTTTGTTCACCAACGCTCTGATAAGTGTTCTGCTACTGAGCAACAAAGTGTAATGCAAGTCTCCACATCTCCTCTCCAACAAGTGCCATTTATTTCACCCGACAAGGTTTTGCAGAACACGTAGTGACTATTGATGTCCCATCTGCACGTCGGTGGGGCTAATATTTAATCTGATTAGGGCCACCTTATTCTGTGTTTAGACAACAGACCAATAAAAAAAGACGTTGTTAATCAAGATGACAGATACCCACACCCAGTTTGGTCCTAGTCCCGGTCCACAAAGGCAAACAAAAAACAGATATGAATCTTATCTCTGTGTTTTATTTGCTATTAGGCTATACTCCGTGTGATAAAGCACCTGGACTGCTTCGGAACAGCACATAAAGAACTTACCAACAAAAGGTGCTTAATGGCTTTTTGTGGCTTTCATTAACTGCAAATCTACTGTAGGAAGTGGTTCAGCCACTGAAAGGATACAGTGTATTTACTCTGAAAGAGAGGAGACACCAGGGGGGGGGAGTTATTGGGAGAGTGACATTGCTGAGACCATTTTCACTGCCATTAAAGCAGCACCCACGGCCAAATATTGATTTTGCCTAAATGCTTCAAACTGAAAAAAAAAATACTTTTGGATGATATCAGGTTGTGTAAATGAATATGTAAGTGATATAGTGTCCCAACCAACTTTTTAATTCTGCAATAACTCCTCGGGGGTCCATTACAAGTGTTTCCAAGGTTGTCATTTTTCACTTCGACTTCCTCAATCCTTCGACCACTTCCTTTTTTTCGAAGATGTATCTAGGGGTTGGGGTCACTGGTGAGGACTAGCACCGCTCCGTGATGCTCCAGATGGGTGGTGCATTCACACTGATCCTTTGACAAACCCACTCGGCTTTACTCGGCAGACACATAAACAAAGCACCGTGAGGGATACATCCCCGGCCCATCTGAAAGTGATCAACCAGTAAGTGCCAGCAACTGCCAGTCGGGGTTTGGATGCAGACGAACCAGTAGCTGTCGGGTGTTTTGATGAATCAAAGCTGGAACTGTTTTGCACTTCAGCGTTCAAGGACGCAGACCAGCTTGAACCCCGGTTCGCTGCAAAATGCAAGGTGCGTAATATTTGTGCGTCTGTGCTGAAGGAATTATCCACTTGACAAATAAACTGCATTTGTTTCTCATTCATAAGGACTGATTCTATGTATTACATGTTTTCTAAATGAATAGGGTGATTATTTATTGGCTGATTATTTATCTGTGTTTTGGGTGTATCTGTAGCATTAGTTTCACGGTGCTGCAGCCAGGCTATTTAAAGCTCATCAATGCACATGTTCTTTTTCCTTAGCATTGTAAGAACCAAGAGGAGGAGCTCTGTTTAACTGCTCCAGAGCTGTCCCAGTTGTATCAGCTACTACCAGATATAGACAGGGAAATCCCGGAAGTTTAGTGACTTTTCCTTCTAAATAAAAGTGCAGAATATTTTGGTTGGAAAGAGAGGAAACATGCAGAATAGTCGTTGGGGGTTTTTTAACATTTGTTTTATTACATAGGAATATATTTTAGGGGCATTGTGTATGAAAGACCAAAATAAGGAAATAAAAAAAAATACTAGATTTAATGGAGCTTGTGTGGATTTAGCTCTGTGCTTTTATTGTGAAAGGCACCGCCAAGACTCCTTCCATCTATGGTGTCTGACTTGATGCATCTTCCAGTCTCGGTCGTCCACCTCCACAGCATGCAAATTGCGGAGCAACTCCAATATATCGCAGATTGGTTAACTACACAGAGCGCGCGGCGCGGCGCATGAGCTGGAACCGGTGCGCGCCCCTCATCATTCAGAGTGGCCCGTAAAATAAGGCAGAATAGAGTGTTTTATAATCACAGCAGTATGTTGTCCCCGTGGCCCGAACCTGCAACTTAACCCTAATTAATTCGGAGGAGTCTGTGGGAGGACGGCAACACTCAGGCATCCCGGGACCGGAGAGAAGAAACCTCTCTGCGAGCTCCTTGCGCAAAGGGAATAACCAGAGTGTGACAGCGCTTGTCAGACTCGAGAAAAAGACTGTGGACCCGAGAGGACAAGCGGGGACTGACGGATCCTGTAAAGTTTCTCCGTGTGTCAGCCTGCTTTTTTTATTTTTCTTCTTCGGAGAGAAAGTGTTGTGGAGGGTTAGTCCCTCTCCGATGCGTCGGTCCCCCTCGTATACTGATGGACTGAGTACGGTGACATTTGGAATAGCATTCCCCTGTTTTCATCTGTGTTAGACGGTAAGCCATAAAGCACAGTCACTTGTAATATATATATATATATGTATGTGTGTGTCACTAAAATGTTAATGTGCTCAATGACTATTTTCTTTTTTTATGACCAGGTGGGCTTTATGGAGGGTGACAATAAATATATATATTAAAAACAGCCTAAGTCTCAAGGAATCCAGGTGTCCATCATGGGCAGGTTCCAACTAGCTACAGTATGTTACACAGCAGTGTGCACCTCCATTTTATTTTTAACCTAATTACATTCCTGTGAAATGCACAATACTGTATGTGGACTGAGATGTCAACAGAAAGCGTTATTTATTTATCACTAGCATGATTTTACAAGAAGTCCTGTCAAAAGAAAAGTGCCATGGACTTTGACAGGAGAGAGAGAGAGAGTTTTCCTGAGGGGGCTCCATTACCTCGAGCACACCTGGCCGCTTGCCACCCGCAGCTACTGTATCCTACGCGTATGTTAATCAAGACCGGTGCTGTGCCCACACGCTGCTTTTTAACACCGAGCGCAACTTCAAGTGGCTCTATTTGTCTTTTTGCGTCGATGAGCGCACATTCTAATGCGCCGACAGTGCGGCTGCTCCGCGCATGAATATGTATGATTACAGGTCGGTGGTCGCAGGTGTGTTTAATGAGGACTGCATCACGACTCCCTAACGGACCTCAGCCAATCAGAGAGGAGTTTTTTTTTATTGTTTTGTATCGGAAGCATATTTTGTCTGTTCATCTCTTTGAAATGAATTAAGCGTGGCACAGCAGTGTTAACATTGAGCATACACATGGTTACATTGTAGATCGGGAAGGATTAAATACATCTTTACCGCATACAAGCCTAATTTAATCACCCCCACCCCCCAATGTGAGAGTGAGGTTATAGTCCTACTTAAATAAAAGTTAATGAGGGGGAGAAGAAGTGTCTAATTAGCTGTTCGTTATAAAATTGCATAATTGAGTTTGGGCCCCAATTATTTGCTTGAATGAATCACCGGTTAATAGCTTAGTTATAAGCGCCCCATGCCATAAATATATGGGCTGCTCAAGCCTCATGTGTCTGAATAGTGTGAGATTAATTATTGATGGGTGGTTTGAGGGCCAATTTAACGAATCGCTCGAAAGGGACGGTTCACAAAGGGGTGTTTAGTGTGCTGCTAATTGCTCATGTTCCTGCTTTCTCATCAAACGTTAAGAGGTCTGCGTGTAAGTATTTGGGCTCAACACCAATAACCAACGGTTATTGATTGGACCCCGATTGAACAAATGGCTCACAGTGAAGCGTCGTTGCAACGTGTGAAACACCCAAAGGGAATTGGTGACCGGTGAGAGTAGTCTGCCGTTTTAAGAGCATCAGGGGTAGAGCAGGGAGGAGGGCATTGTGAAAGTTTATTAAAGCACACTACCTTCAGACAGAGGGCGCCTGCGGATGTAATGGCGAGTCCTTGCCTCCTCTATGACATGGAGAAAGTAGGCACCGCGAGCCCACAGAATATTGAATCACACAAAAAAAAAGGGCTGGAACAAAGGGCAGGGGAGTTGAACTATCTCTTGCCTCTTGAGTGGGCGGATGTCATAATTATCATTTCTCCAGGATGGCGGTGGAGGGGCCGCGGGCGCTGGCAGGACTCTCTGCAGATATGTGGGTGTAGCGGTGGTGTCGACCCTGTAGGGCAGGCCACATCACTTCCGATACAGAGGAGAGAAGGGACAAGTCCTGGCCATAATTGGTGCTGGGGAACACTGCAGGGCGCTCCGGGGAAAGTTGATGGACGGTCAGGGCCTCGTGCACGCGGAAGCAATAAAGTGCAGGGGGCCTCTAATCTGCTATCCCATGTCAGGCTGGAATGAAACAACCTCTAGCTGGAAGCAACAAGTCTCTCTCGTCCCCGTCCCCCCCCCCCTTCCCCAAAAAGCAAAAGCGGCCCGACTTTAAGTATGAGTGGATGCACGCAACTGTTGGTTGGTGACCTCCAAGTGAATGAGGACAAAAGGGAAAAAAAGAAGTCCCTCCTATGCTGCTAAGCCAGGTTGTTGGTATTGTCTGCTGCGTGTCGCAGTACGGCTCGAGCAAATTGCTGTAAATGAGCGGGGAGGACTCACACTGTGAAAAAGCACTCCCTGTGAAGTGTTTTCCAAGGTATTCAGTATTATTAAAACCAGTTCTTGCCTGTTTGTGCTTCATCACTCCCTGCTGCATCGCAGGTGTGTGTTAGTCCAAACACCTGGAGGAAAATCGTCACTTTCACTAAAAATGCTTTCTTGCTATAAAGCTCTCTGACATATATGGGAGGTGGGAGCTTCAGGCCTGTGGATCTGTTATTAAAGTCCTTGCAGGGCTCCACTAGATTCCTCCACCACGCTGGTGCTCACTTCATCACGTCAGGAGCCACACTTAAACTCAAGTTGGTGGTTTATTCAAAAGCTGTGTTTCTGATCAATGTTTCAAAGTGACATCTCCGGAATGACAATGCAACATGGTTTTGTGCCCCCCCCCCCCCCCCTGAAAACAAGACAGGCGCTGATGAGTCCGCCCATCTAGCTGTCGCACGTCCATCAATCTTTGCCGAACGCCTTCAAAAAGAAAAACCTGCTGCTCGGAGAGTGGCGCCCAGAATGAGACGGTGCCGTGAGCGTTCACGTGAAAAGCTCTGCCAGCAGATTATTCCGGGACAGTAAACAGCCTTTTTGGCGTGACGTGTGCACATGTTTCATACTGCAAACGTGTGCAGCCACAGTACGGGCCGTGTTGTCTGTAAATGCTTTTAATCTTTTGTTATGATTATGAGCTCTTTCCAAAGGTGCCCAGCAGGCAGTAATCTATCCCAAACACAAACAGGGAATTATGGGTGTCAAGACGTTTCTATGATTAGACTTTGACTTTCTTCTTCGGGCAGGAGTTTTTTTTAAATCCAGTCCGGCTCCTCTAACTGCCCGATGTGGCATTCCTACTTAATTGGTCTTGAAAGGTCTTGTTCAGGACCACGACGCAGGTCAGCTCAAGTCTCTGCAGTTGTTAAGTCATTAGACACTCAATTAACTCAGCCACTGTACCTGATCTCAGAAAAACAGGGCAGAAAAACAAGTTACCTCGAACTAAAATATGCGTTAAAGTTGCCGCCTCAAGTGTACTCTAATAAATTATTTAAAGCGCCGCTAGACAAGACATTTATGTAAACATATAACCCAAATCCCAAACTTGGACTGAGATCCCCTAAGTCTATCCTGAAACGTGTCTTTTTAACAGAGTTCAAGCTTCACAGTGCAGCTTTTGATTAACAGCCAATTTTTTGAAGGTAATTTGCATTATTCAAGTCTTTTTTTTTTATCTCTCGCTTCTTGTCTTTTGGCAAAACACCCTGTTATATGAAAATGGATACTACAGTGAACTGTATATGGATTATGCACTGATTAGCATACAGACTTGCACAGACTTGACATCAATCGATTCTTCCATCTTCTCACCAGCTCGTCCTGTTGAGGGCTGTTGATTGGAGCTATGTTCCAGTCCTCTGTGAAATATATTCTTCTACCCATCAGCCCAGATTCTCCGTGTCTCTCTGTGGACTGCTGACGTCTGCTCTGTCTGATACTGGCAGTTCCAACGAGTCTTATTATCTCCACTGCATGTGCATTCCGTCTGTGCTCAGGGTGTCAACTGGGTGCAGGTTTGCATCGTAAAGCATCTCAAAGTGACCCCAGTGTGGAAGTGTCTTGTGAATAAACAGCATGAAGGCAGAGCTCACGGAGTATCAGAATAGGAGCTATACACAATCCAAACAGTGATTTTCTATCGGAGGTAAAACTTGCTATACACGTTTCCCAAACAGTAAGAGATCGTCTGTGACGTTGAGGTAATCTCCTGGCCTGTTATTGCTTTTTTCTCCACCACAAGAGCTGAGGGAACTTTGGATGTATGTTTTTGCCAAATTAACTGAAAGCTAATCCACAGGGTTTAAAGCCGTGTCCAGCTTTCTTTTGTTTATTTATTCGTTCTTTTCATTCTCCCTATGGGCCGACATTCTCAAATAGATCAACTATAATATGGCGAGTCACTACAGGCAACAAACCTGCCTGTGTTCTACACGCATTAGTGGGAAGAAAACATACAGAAAAAAAGATTGAGGTGTTTATTTGACTTCTCTGTCTATTGGCATCTGTAGTTTTATCCTAAAGATAGCATCACCTGTAGTGTCTTGTATACGTATTGCAGTTAAAGGCCTTTTTTCTCAAAATGATTTTTTTTCTCAGACTCGGAGCCAGAAATCTCCACTTCAGTAGCGCTTACATACACCAAGGTTTACAGTTTCATTCCTATCTATACTCTCAAGGTAACCTGATTCATACAACATTGTATTCCTAAAAACATGTCGAAAAGATATATATATATTTTTTTTATGGTTGTATTTTCAGAGGAATGACAAAAAGCTATACCCAAAACTCCCCTCCCCTGAAAAACCTTGACTCTAATACGTCAAAACAAGGATAGTGAACCTGGCTTTATCCAGTGTTCCCATTTCTGTTCTGGAAATGAATGCAAATTAGCACATATTTTATAACAGAATGCATCATTTGCACATAACATTTAAGAAAATGTGTCATACAGAAAATAATACTCTTCCTGCAATAATCAACTAAGGACGTTTTATTGGTGATATCTTTTAGTTTTTATTTGTCCCTGTTCACCTGTAGTGTCTTCCCTTTAAATCAAAAAAGGCGCAGCTGCTTGAGAAAGTGACAGCAATACTCTAGATTATAGTACTGTAATGAGTGACATACAAAAACCAAAGCAAATACTATTACACGTGCTGTGCACGCTCTTTCTAAAGTGCAACGTTACAGTAGGCCTCCTGACTAATTGCCATGATACCGTTCAGCTGGTACTAATGACTACGTGCACTAGCAGCTGTGATCGTTAAAACAACTCATGACTTTCGAGCCGTTCGTCCAGTTAGAGAAGCAGCAGGGCTCTGTAGAAGAAGTGTAAGCATGCAGTGTATTCC